TGTGTTTCATTTTGTCTTTGAAATAAGACGAGTGTTACAACTTATCTGCCTTTCTTTTGTTTTATATTTAAAGAATTTAGTTTGACCATTTTAATTGTATTTCTTTTCTTGTGCTTATTACTTGTAACAAGTTACTTGTAAGTAACTTGTTACTTAGTTCGTCCGGTTCCCTAACTCTCTCAATTCAGATAATGTTCCACATATAGGCCAATAAAAAATGTAATCATTCACTATATTATAGCTACTCGTTCTATTGTCTGACAACAAAAAAAATAGGAAATGAGAACAGCTTTATTTGACATTCGGGGTCACACGCAAGGTCTCTCGCTCGCTTTCCCTCTATGCCGTGCGCGTGCTACGTGGTTTGAAGCACAATCTCTGCCTCTGGCGCTCGCTCTAGAATACGAGAGATTTGAACTCATTTGCGGCATAACTAGTCGATCACTAGTGGCTCAACAGGTAGATAGATACACTCATCTTCCAGGCATTTGACCGACCTGGGGTGCATTTCCCAAAAGCATTGTTGGCCAACTATGCTTTTGGGAAACGCACCCCAGGTTGACACTTCAGCGTGAGAAATCGGGGGTGTGGTGTGTGAGCGTGTGAAACAATCAAATGAGTGTGTCTCACGGCCAATGTGTGAGAGTTGGCAGCTCTATTAGTGTATAAACATGTTTATATATATATATATATATATATATATAAAGTTACTAAATAGTTCCAAATTATATTAAAAAAATATTACAAATGAAGAACATGTTAACATTTTAGTTGATGTAAATAGTTATTTTAAAAGATCTGCACCTTTTTATCAAATCTAACTGATACAAGATCTGTTAATAGGTAAAAAAAAATATTACAAATGCAAAAAGAGAGAATGTAAAAATAAACATGTTAAACATGTTTTATATAAAGTTACTAAATAGTTCCAAATATGTACAAAAAAAAATTTTATGAAGAAAAAACAAACACACCAATAACAAACAAACGACCCTAACAATTGCCTTAAATGCATGATATTAAAATAATATCAACAGACATGTGAGACTAAAGTATTATAGAGCCTTGCATTATATGCATTATTTTTATGATTTGTTATTATGAAAAATTATACAATTGTATTGCATTTATCCAAACAAAGTGTTGTTATAAAAACAGCAGGACTGCAGTGATGTGAATTTGCAACAATACAGATAATTACAGTGACGTTTTTTTATATTTTGTAATAACACTTTTCGGTTTTTGCACTTTGCAGACGGTCCCTTCGCCGCAGCCTGCGCATAGATATCAATTTATATTGTCAACTGCGAAGGAAAGCTCGTTTTGAGGAAAATTAGATTGTAGCTGCTGGTGTTGTATGTGTAGTTATGTGTTAGGTATTATTTGTGTAGTAACAATGTTTAGTTCACGAGTTATCGAACGCGGAAGTTCTATCTGAATGTGCGAATATAAAACCAACTTTACCTAATTATTCACGATATGAGGGCTTGTACTCTGGAGCTGGTTAATGTTAAACTCTGTAATCTGAGAACATCTCTCACCTGCAGACTGGAAATATACGGCATCCGAAGAAAATGTTCCACGTTCATTCACGATCGTTACCAAATCAGCCGCTACAAACAAATTCCAATTCAACCTTTCCGCCGAGACTGACCGAGCGAGGAATCACTTCCTGTGCGAAACGGCCGCTGTTTCACTCTTAAAGGGGCCGCATGTTATACCTAAGAGTATAGAAGTACCGAGAGGCGAAACTCCGTTGCAGTTTTGACAACAATCGCTAGATGGCGCTGCTGTCGCCATTTTAGACTGAACCAACAGCTTTGCCGTTAGCACCACATTTTTTTTAAAGCTATCATCTGTAAATCTGTACATTAACTCTCTCTTTCTGTATCAAATGTATGTGTTGTACAAAGTTTTTATCAGTCAAGATAAATTAAATTATAATAAAACTAAAGACTAAAACATATAACAGCTACTTACCATTCCATTGTGATTCTATGTGTAGTAAATGTGTGCACTTGCACAATGTTTGATTTGTTGTGTGTATGCAAGCAGAAATGATGTGGTGATCTACTTACCATCACCACTTTTTCCTTCAGATATTCTTTCCTTTACCCACAGTTTATCATCAGCATACATTTCTTCTACATTAATCCTGTTGTTCAGAAACTGAAATGACACCGTGACCGTACTATTTCCTATATCTGAGTCCAGTGGCGTAACGAGCCAACACCGGGCCCTTATGCAGGATTATCAAGGCGGGCCCCCTACTACAACACGTGATGACGCAATGTCCACGAGTAGGCTTTTGCATGCAATACGCAAGGAACTGTTTACACCTGGCCACTTCATGCTTTTTCTGTGATCGTATAGCTATCCGATCGTGAAAAGACCAGGTGTAAATTCCCTTCGAAACGCATTCGAGACGGATTTGAATCCGGTCGCTCAAACCACTTCAGGAGGTGGTCTGGGCCGCATTCCAGACGACACTGGACAAGTGTAAATACATCTGGTTGTTGAAACCACATATGTCAATTTTACTCCTCTAAAAATGCTAAAAAAAAATAAACGTGTGAGAGCGTGTTATAGGCTATATGTCAGTCATATACGACGCTTCTGCAACAACACGCATCACCGCAGATGAGCATCTATTCATCAAGCCAACGCACAAACTATCGCAAATCAAAGTGAAAGTAAGTCGCAGACGCTCGCTTAACACACAATCATCTTCATTAAAAGTAAAGAAACGAAATGATCTTACCAGTACTGTTGCCGCTCTCTCTAATTGCGGTCTACGATTTAGACATTTTAGCTGATGATCAATAAAATGCAGCTTATCTGTTGCTTTCGGTGACGTGAACTCTATTAAATCTGCATATCGTCGCTGCCCGATGAAACTCACGTAGGCCTATGTCCAAAACGGTTACTTTTCAGGAAGTGAAAAAAACACGTAATTTCAAAAGCAGTTGAACGTAGCGTTGTCATACTTGGTACGACAACTTTAAAGGTTCTCTAACGCCGCCTTCACACTGGCAGTTGAAATCAGCTCCGTAATTCGCAATACGCCCCCAGCGGACGTCGTACTACACCGCGAAAAGCGTCGGAAGCGGGTAGAACAAAAATGGCGGAGAGATTAGAAAGGTTGATTTTGTCCGTGTCAGAATGTACGATTCTGTATGATCTCTCTGATGAGGGCTACAGAGATATTAATAGGAAGGCTGCTGCGTGGAGGAAAGTCGCTCAGGACGTTGAGATGTCAGGTCGGCTAAAAAATGTGATATTTTAGTGGTATAATGTCAATAGTTCGATGTCTGTCACTGTGCGCAACGATACAGAAGACTTTTCCGTCTACAAATTCCCTTCATTTACCATGGATTTACTGTAACGTTATAGCCTATTATATTATTTCCACCATGAAATGTGGGATATACATATTGAATTGTATTATATTATTAATGTAGACAATGTATTAAAGGACTAATGTAATAAAATTACAGTATTTAATGTATTGTTAGGCTACTGTTTTTCATACAAATACCATAGAAACCATACAGTTACATTTTGCCATGATAGTGAGGTGCTATAGGCTATGCATGGTTTTATCTGTGGTTATCATGATCTAAAATGCATGATACTGGATGACCAAAGGTTAATTTGAATAAAACTCAAAAAGTCAGATTACATTTTACCAAATAAAAATATGGTTGTTACTTTTTTTCAAACAGATGTTACTGTTTTTACTAATGAACATAAATTTAAACATAGTAAATCTGCATCTAACTCAGGATAATACTACCGTCAACTCACTGTCAAATATGCGTTTCGACAATTTTTTTTTTTATAGTAATATAATCCTGCACTACAAACTGTGCTTAAGATACATGCAATCAAAGTTAGGCAACACAAACCTGTAAACTTGAAAGAAATAAAGAAATGTGCTGAACATTGTCTGTGCTTTTCAGTGGAGGATGTAAAAAAAAAGTGGAGGGACCTCCGTGATGCCTATGTTCGGTATAGGAGGGAGGACCAGTCCAGGCGGGTAAGCGGGGCTGCTGCCTCTCAGAAGAGGCCCTGGCGTTATGCCCAGATTATGTCCTTCCTCCTGCCGTTCATCACACCACGGAGGACAACCTCCAACCTCACTGAGACAGAGGGAGAGACCCAGGAGCGAGAGGGAGAGACCCAGGAGCGAGAGAGAGAGACCCAGGAGGGAGAGGGTGAGACCCAGGAGGGAGAGAATCAGGAGAGAGAGGGAGAGAATCAGGAGAGAGAGGGAGAGAACCAGGAAAGAGAGAGAGTCACAGATCACACACAGGAGAGCGTGCGCCCACATGAAACAGGGGGCACACCAGACCTGTCAGGTGAGCGCAGGCGTAGGCGGCGGGTTGTTTCTGCAAGCCCCTCAGCATTTGAGCAAATGATTGCGACTGCAATCGAATCTGCCAATCAACCACCGACACAGGAGAAAGACCCAGACCAGGCCTTCTTGGACAGCCTGCTCCCCGCCCTAAAAAGGATGTCCATTCAAAAAAACGCTGCTACGAAGCTGAAAATTCACCAGCTGATATATGTAGCTGAATTTGAGTGTAAGTATTTTGCTGTGAAAAATTCTCCACACTGGCATTGATAATGTGTAACATGCTGCCATCTCACCTTTTCATTTTTTGTTTTTGTTTTTTCAGAATCTGGTGGAGCTGAACGCGCACACACACACACACACACACACACACACACACAGACAGACAGACAGACAGACAAACACACTCTCACTCACTCACTAATGATACTCACAGACAGACAGACACACACACACTCAATAATACAAATTATTAAACACAATAATAAAGTTCACTTTAACTATTATTCAGTACTGTGGTAATTTTAATTTAGTTAAATGAAATGACAACACTGACATGGAATTGCAATTTATGACATTGTGGTTGGCCCTTAAAAGGGCCTTTTGGTCTGTGATTATGACACAGGATCATGTCGGTGGACACCTCCCACCTCAGAGGAAAAGTAGGTTGTGTAGGCCTCTCTGACACGAACAGCCTCCGCGCTGGAATTATTGGCACCTTGTCGGAAGACACTGGGCAAGACAACACTGGGGGGTGGGTTGGGCGCTCGATTCTCCCTTGGTCTATAGGGGCGTGTTGGGGCATCACGGCGAAGAAGGTTGTGGAGGACACAGGTTGCCTTCACGCACACCTCCACATTGTGTGGATGCTGCCACATCACTCGATGGTAGATCCTGAACCTGGCTGCCAGCACACCGAAGGCTTGCTCTACTACCATTCTTGTCCGAGACATGCGATAGTTGAACATCCGACGGCGTCTGCAGAGGTTCCTTCCAGGATATGGACGCATCAGGTGACGGCGCAACGGGAAGGCTTCGTCCCCCACAAATGTGTAAGGAAGTGGCCCGAGATCCTCTGCTCCAGGGATGATGGCATCTGGTGGGACTCCCAAGGTGCCTTCCTGGAGAGCGCGACCAAAGGCAGACTCCCTCAGTGTGCCTCCATCACTCCCGCGACCATAGGCACCCACATCAATAATTCGGAAGCAGAGGTTGGCATCTACAACCGCAAGGAGCACAATGGAGAAGGTCCCCTTATAATTAAAAAAAAGGGAGCCTGAATTGGGTGGTGCCACGATCCTCACATGCACGGGCGTCAGTTTGGTTTGAAATGTGGTGGGGACAGAGACGCATTCGGAAGTGCATTTTCAAAAGTGCTGGGTACAAATTCTGCAGCCTGTTTAACCCGTAAATAAATGCATCGATCCGCAAATTTTTGTTTGAGTTCTTAAATGGTCTGGTGGTAGATCTTTTGCCAAGCGTGTCAGAGGTGACGGGTTCTAATCCGCCCTCGGTATAGTTTTTTTTTCTCTCAAAACTGAATAATGTTCATCAGTGGTTACAGTCTATATCAAGCAGCCAGGGACACGTTTTTTGTGCATTTTATTTTGTAATTTCACCGGAATGAATATATACAACGGCGATAGATTGAAGTGCGCGTCCGAGTGAAGACTGTGCGCGAGCCACAGAGAACACTGTATCCACGACACTGATAGCAGCGGACACGAGCGCTCAGCTTGAGTTAAAAAACAAAACATTTTAGCTAGATCTCTTATTTAAGAGCGAACTAAATGAATGCTCTGCTAGTTAACTGGAGATGTTTTATTTGTATTAGGTACATCCGACCGTGCCTCAATGTTTCCAAGAGTGGTGGGTACAAAATGACTCATGACGAAATCTGGTGGGGACGCGTACCCACCGTCCCCACCGAAATCGACGCCTATGCTCACATGCTTCCCATCAATGGCCCCTATGCAATTGGGGAAGTCACGGTTGACCCGGAACTGCTCTGCAATATCCTGCCAATCACTCTCCTTTGGCACAGGCATGTAGACATCCACTAGCTCCTCCCAGATAACCTTGGCCACCTCAGGCACAATGAGAGATACAGTGCTCCAGCCCACTCGGAAGCGGTAGGAGAGAGAGTGATAGGAGTCACCAGTCGCCAGGTGTCTGAAAGAACATAAATAAAATATTAATAATAACAACAATAATAAGGGCTGGGAAAAAATCGTGATTAATCGCATCCAAAATAAATTTTTTGTTTACATAAAATATGTGTGTGTAGTGTGTATAATTATTTTGTATATATAAATACACACATAGGCATGTATATATTTAAGAAATATTTGCATGTATATACTGTATCTATATTTATACATCATTTATATTATATATAAATACACATATTTTTTATATTAATAACACATTTTTCTTAAATATATACATGCATGTGTGTGTATTTATATATACAAAATAATTATACAAACTACACACATATTTTATGTAAACAAAGATTTTATTTTGGATGTGATTAATCACGATTAATTTTTTCCCAGCCCTATAATACATACATTTATTTGGCGGATACATTTCTAGATAAACAAGGACATCTTATATGTTTAAGGGCGAAAATAAGAAAATTCAATAGTTTTTAGCTTAATAGAAAATACAGTTAACAAAATAGACTATAATAATATTGAAATAACCAAATAACTTGATGATGAAAAGGAAAATCACCGGAGACAGATGGCTAGGCGTTCTGCCGGACAAATACATCTCCGAAGCCGGGTGTTGATTCTCTTGATCCGTGGACCAACACGGTGGAGGATTTCGTCAAACTGACAGCGCGACACCCTGAAATACTCCCTGAAATCCTCACCGTTGTTCAAACGCAGCTCACCGACCAGACGGTGAAACTCCCCATATTGATTTCTCTCCGCCAGGTAGTATTTCACCCACACTGATCTCTTATTTTTGTGCTTGCGTCTCCAGTATAGGAGAGCAACAGCAAGTGCATTGACCAGCCGACGATTTGCCATCATTGAATTTTCTGTCTGTATGTGAATGAGCGGGGTGAGGGAAAATGGCCACAATATTTAATTATAGCCATTTTAATTATTTAATTATAGCCTACATTTTAATTGTATAACTGCCCTAATAACGTTAAGTCATGAAAATAAAAAAAATGACATGACAACTTATCGTTCTAAAATCATTATTTATTGTATGAAAAGTTTAGAAATCAGGTTTGTTTATCGGTACCATAGCAACGCTCAACTTCCGCTGGAATTGTCGGATAGGAACCGTCCGTAGCTTTTCGCAAGAGTTCAATTTTTTGAACGCATCCGGATGACCAACGGACGCGATTTTCTTCGCACCGCACTCTGTCGGACCCGTTTCGGACCCATTCGCATGCGGTCTGCGAATCTCCATAGGAAATGAATGACTTCCGGTCGTTTCGGTGCCGTATCGGAGCTGATTTCAACTGCCAGTGTGAAGGCGGCGTAAGCGATCCTGGGTGACGTCACTTCTTGTTGACGTTCGAACTATTGTCAAACAAAACGGAGGCTAGCTAGACCCTCCCTCCTCCTCATCCGCACACTAAAGGCCAATTTATACTTCTGCGTCGGGTGCGCGCAGTAGGTACGGCGTAGCATACGCACAGACGCGTACCATACGCTGTACCCTTCGCCGTAACCTGACGCGCACCTCCTCAAAAATGTAACTACACGTCGCGACGACGCGGACCGCAAGATCTGTGATTGGTCGGCTTGGTAGCATCGCGTTTCCTCCTATGCATTTCCGGCATGTTCTTCTGTACCGCCCGCCATTTTTAAATTCTAAGTACAGCGAAACTGTTAAAAAAACTAAAAATTTACCTTTTCCACCTCTATAAGCTCCAACTCCAACATGATCTGCTCTCTTTCAGTCGGCATTGCTTGTAGTAACCTAAACTCAAAACAGCCGCGAGGAATCTTCTTCTTCTTGCCGCGAGGAATCTATACACAGTGGAACATTAAAACCCTCCGCCGCCAACTGGCGTTTCGGCGCTGTACTGCAGAGCAACGCAGACCTAAACGCAGAAGTATAAATGCTCATGACGGCGTTGCCTACGTGCGCAGCCTACGCCGTACACTACGGCGTACACTCGACGCAGAAGTATAAATTGGCCTTAAGGGCCTTTACATAGTCAACGCGAGCAACGCGAGTGACGCGAGCTACGCGCTCCTTTTCATAGTACACAAGCGTCACCGGCGATGCGTGAAATGCAATACACCGATCGCGCAGCAGGGGGTAGTAGAGTCTAGAGTCGGGTCACGTAATATTCAGATCAAAATGGCAACTGAAGAGGAGTGCATATTGCTGATTTTACATCGGCGGCAACAAAGGATGTATACGAACAAGCTCGCATAACTTTTCCTCTTCGCCCGCCATTGTATTCAAATCTTCTTCTTCTGTAAACATAATAATATATCTTTTTATGTACATTACTTGCAATGTCGCCCCCACCGACAACGCATAGTATTGCGTGCATCGGCGCGTCGCGTATCAAAAACTAGGATGACACATTTGGCTACGCATCGACGCATAATGGCGGCCGAAGCGTAGCGATGTGTAGCCTTGCGCACGCGTATGCGTACCGATGCGTTGACTATGTAAGGGCCCTAACCCCCCAAACCACACCCCCAAACCCTTCTTGTCGGTCATTGGCTGGAACAGTTTGTTATGTTTTGGGGAGGGTCGCTGCAGTTTGTTTTTGGTGCTGTTTGTGAAGCATGGGCTGTCTACAGAGATCGCGTTTCTTTACAGTGTGTTCAGGGGACAGGCAGCCAGCGGATAGTGAGGAGATGTTTGCTGTATGTGACAAAAAATGTTTTGGCCTAAAAAACACATGACATCGCTTAGAGCACCTTTAAATGTAACCATATTCTTGCCAGTGTAATGATGTAATCCACATTTGACCAAAATTGAGTTTAAATGGACATACGTGCATATTTTACAGTAACGGTGGTCGATACGCGTTTTTCCGATCATTAATTAGAATGACCCAGTCGCGTTTCATATTGACAGATGAATAGGCTACGCTCAGTTTATTAAACAGCCTACGTCTCAGTTTATTAATACGGTCAGTTTATTATATGTCTCTTGCAAACTATGAAGGGACAATGAATCAATACACTGACATGGCAATGATAGACTGATACTATGAGGGGGAAGCACAGTCGGAGCACTGCTACTTGGGCGCAGAGATCAGCTATCAAGCAACACCTGAAATAAAGCTTGCAAATTTGTTGATGAAAACATTGATTAAAATGAAGATACAATTTATACAAAACGAAATTTTCAAGCAAAAATAATATTCGAAGATCGCTGGGTATTGTTTGATTATTAGCATGTGAGCAAAGCGGAGCGGTGTGACGCTTATAAGTTAAAAAACTTAAACATACGTTAACGTTTCATATTTATGTTTAAATAATACAATGTTTTTTTTTTATTATTTCATATATGTTGATTAGGCTATATGAAAACGGAACCGCATGAGATGAGTAAGAGGATCATAAGATGACCAATTAGGCCTATATCGGAAAACATTTGGAATGGGTCAGATTTTGATCTACTAAGTTTTGTTTTGTAGAAAGCCTTTCTTTAAATTTTATTTCGTTTTGTATAAATTGTATCTTCATTTTAATCAATGTTTCATCAACAAATTTGCCTGGATTAATAAATAAGCACTTCATGTGAAGTGTGCATTTCTCTCTATAGGCGCGTTCACTACTGCGAAGATGGCGAGTCTGTATCGTCAACTTTATCAACAATTTAAATGTTTCATGCATAATCATTACTTTCGCCGGTTCTTTGTGGCAATAAGCTTTATTTCAGGTGTTGCGTGATATCTCTGCGCCCAAGTAGCAGTGCTTCGAATCCATGTTCGAATCTTCACGAGACCGGCGAGATGCATCCACAGGGTGGGAGATACGCGGCGTGATTGACAGCTTTGACACCAAATGGATATACGTGAAAATCAGATGACATGATTTCACAACTTTTCATTGGTCATTTAGATAATGTGAAGCATGCTGTATACGGAAATGAACCTGGACATTATATCCGTCCAAAAATCTCAAAATCGGCAAAATGGACATACGCGGTTTTCATCGGACAGCGACGATATAGCGCGGAAATTGAAGATCGGATCTATATCTGTTTTGCAAAAACACATTTATGTGACCAGCTGTAAATGGAATCGTTTTGATAAATCAGTAGCTATCCGATCTGAGAAAACGCATGAAGTGGCGCGCGCGTGTAACTTTAAACAGCCGACCCGGGGATTCCCCAGTCCCAGCTCAAAACAAATTACACCAAAATCCATGATTGTTCGTTTCACACATGTATTTAATGATCTGTAAAATATGTTGTTGTCATTATATATTTAAAACAAAATCGTGATAAAGTAAAATGCGATCAAACTAAAAGTAGTAATATGCGATAGGGGGCCCCGGCTGTCAATCAATATCTTCCAGTCAAGCGGGCCCCTGATTGGTCCGGGCCCGTAAGCAACCGCGTACCCTTCTTACCGATAGTTACGCCACTGTCTGAGTCTAATATATTCTTTAATGTTAACTCCATTCCTTCATTCTTCCATATTTCTAATCTTAGCACTTCCCTCTCTTCATCATAATCCTCACAATTTATAATCACATGTTCCACAGTGTCCACATTTCTCACACATTCCCGATGGATGTTTAGATATTAGATGTAATGTTGTGTTCAAACCTGTATGTCCCATCCTTAAAGGGATACTCCACTTTTTTTGGGAAATAGGCTCATTTTACAACTCCCCCAGAGTTAAACTGAGTTTTACCGTTTTTGAATCCATTCAGCCGATCTCCGGTTCTGGCGGTACCACTTTTAGCATAGCTTAGCATACATCATTGAAGTGGACAAGACTTAGCATTTCTAAAAAAAAAAATGACCAAAGAGTTTTGATATTTTTCCTATTTAAAACTTGACTCTTCTGTAGTTACATCGTGCACTAAGACCGACGGAAAATGTAAAGTTGCGATTTTCTAGGCTGATATGGCTACCCATCTCCGCCCCCTGATCCCTAAACCCACCCCTAATCCCTAAACCCACCCCTAATCCTACCCATCTCCACCCCTTGGATCTTG